TGCTTACGTGCTTCTGCATGTTTTTGAAATGTGTTTATGATGCGTGAACTGTGTGATATGTATATGTTACTGTAAAAGCTCGAATTGCAGTAAACCCTAAGATATTCCAGTAAAACCTAAGATCTACCAATGTCTAATGGTAAATGTCCCAAAAGGTTTGCGATTCGAACTCTTACCACCATTTCGTTGGTAAATCTTAGGATTTACATTAATGGCACGGTAAATGTTGAAAAACAAAACATGTCATAGCGTGCTCAGCGCATCTCGTCATCATCATCATCATCAGAAATTACTTCAATTGGAAAAAATCGAATCTATCTTAATATTGAAGTTGCCCTCTTTGTATTTCTAGTCGCTCACTTAGTAATGTAGTCGCACGGACAGAATTTTAATATCTAAAATGGATTAAACATAACCCACTTTTTGTAAGCTCGTTCTGCATTTGATTATATTAATCAATATTCGTCGTTAGTTAAGTTAATTTTTCGCTTACTCAAATTCATACCGCTCAAGTTATTAAAACAGTAAGTATGCCATCATCAGTCGCTAAGTTATTTTTTAGTCGATCGTGTTATAATTCCCCATTAAGAATTACTCATTGTTTTATTCCTAAAACCAACATCTACCAGCTGACAGAGGTAAAACCTAGCATATACTGAATTCGTATGGTAAAAGCTCGAAAAAATCGTCGTATTTTCAGAAATACTTACATTTACCAACTCATGTCGGTAAATCCTAAGACTTACATTTAAATCTTAAGATTAACCGTAGTTCGAGCTTTTACAGTAACATATATACCTTATAAGTTAATTAAATAAACCGTCTTACAGAACATAAAAAGTAGGCATACAGTGTTGCTGCAGTCAGTTCAATAGTCACATCCGAGTTGCCTACAAACTACAAGCTTCATAGACATAACAACAGGCATATCGATTAAATAATTTCGATGGAAATTGTGCTATAAAGTTACTCTCGCAAAATATTAGCAGGTAGAACAGAGCATCGAAGGCAAGGTGCTCGAAACTATAAATTACTTTGGAAATTCCGTTCCGACATATCGTATCGCAACTCGGCAATAAATATTGTTCATTTTCGTCCTTTGGGCTATGCCCGTCGATGGAGAATATACAACGCTGGTAGTGATGTGACTAAAGCCTAAAATAAATTGGACTTGAGTCTTAAGGCTTAGTTATCATAATGACCGCTGCTAATTTTACTTAATTAAATGACGGGTTTACTCGTTATAAAATTCAGTTTAAGAAAATTTCCAGGTAGATAGGTTTCCTGAAATAAGTTTTTTTTTATGTGATAGGAGGCAAACGAGCAGACGGATCACCTGATGGTAAGTGATTACCGTCGCCCATAGACACCCGCAGACCCAGGGGCGTTACAGGTGCGTTGCCGGCCTTTAAGGTAAAGATACGATACGCTCTCCTCTTGAAAGCTTGCAGGTCGTATCCGTCCGGAAACACCGCAGACGACAGTCCATTCCACAGTTTGGTTGTACGGGGCAGGAAGTTTCTAGAGAAACGTACTGTTGTGGACTAAGGCTCCGCTAAGGAAGTTCAGTGACATCACTGTTATAAAAATCTGGTGGATAATTGATTAATTCTCAAGGGCGCTTCAAATTCAACAGCCTTTTCCGAGAATTTTACTAATCAATTTATTCGTATTGAAGTAAACATTTTAGACTAAGTACGCTGAAATGAACTAGTGTTGATTATAATTATTTAGAAATGGAGACTAATATTTTAGGATTTTAGGATTTGATGGTGAAAACGGGCATTAAACTTCGTTTTATTTGAGTCTAGTTACGTTTGAAAGTCAAGTTACATCACTACGTCAGGAAAATTCTGTGCAAGCTCGATTGTAGGCAACTAGTGCTATAAAGATGCCTTTAGACTGCACTCATACTTCGCCTCGCTCTGCCTGCGTTTACGACTTCGTCGAGATCGAATTTGTCCGTGTTTGGGCACAGTCATAAAAGCACAGGATTTTATATGATTATGAAAAACCCACTGGAAAAGCCACGCTTTACAGCAAAGTGTAAATAAGAGATCAGCAAACAGCTGATATTCCAGTAATTCCAGTTTCAAGTTAATTTACTACTAAGAAGTGTTTAATCCATCACTAAAGCTAACCAATATCGTCCAATAGTGTTAAGCAACGCAGTAAGGTGCACTTTCCCGCTAAAGCTGCATACATCTGTTCCGACTGTAGTTTATTAAGCAGTCTCCGTGCTCCAATACCTCAGAAATACCTTAACATATCATTCTGCGGCATCGCATTTCATGTTTATGGCGAAACTTGGAGTCCATGCACTTAAGCAAATGGCTTTCCGATACTTATAACAGAGTATACGATGCGTACCGCTACATTTTATGCATGGAAAGTTATTTTATAAATTATTGCCGCAGTTATATCTATGGACTCGATAAACTTGCCCGATGATGCATATTTAGAGGCAGCTTTTTGCCGGTAACGCTATAAAAATAAAGCAAGACGTCTATTTGGCTGTAAATATTTTGCCCGTGATCTGGCAATTTGCATTTCAAAGACATGACAAATTCGCGCATTTTTAATGAACATAAGCGCGGCACATTAGCCGGCGCGCCGGGCGCGGCAAACGGTCTAGCCGCTCTACTCAAACATCAAAGGACTGTCCTCGGCTTGAGCTGATATCATTATGTCATCAAATGCCCATAACGCACCAGCGGCGAGTCGCCACGAGCCGACTGTGAATTTTAAATCGTTTTTAATAGTATCACGGGCGCACATTTCGTCAAAGCCAACCCGACTCGCCTCTGCGATTTGATTTCCCATTTTTTTTAAACTTCGCTAGGTACCAAACGATTTGTTAAAACTTGCGCGTTCTTTTGTTTTAGGCAGACGCCATAATTACGTTTGGAGTTTGTTGTTACAGCGGCTGTACTCGCACGATACGTGAACATTATTATGTTCGTTTGTTTACAAAGGAGCCCTTAATACTAAAGAGTCGCGGCGTTGACGTCTAACTCGGGGAATTTAATTAACTTCTAAATACTCTTAACGTCTTTGATACCTCGGCGCCCTTGCATTGACAAACGCGCGCGCCCGGGGTGTGTATGACAGTCGCTGTCAAAGTTTTATCAAGCTCGGGGCGCGTTCGGAACTCACTGGCAACAGTGATTTAGGCGTGATAAAACAAATGGAACGCGAGGAGCGTGGGCCGCAATGCGGGAGCATCATGCTCATTTCTCATTGTCTGCTAGCATTCCTAGCCGAGCGCACCGGCACAACTTTGCGCCGTACAGTTTAATGCATATTATAACGCGGTAAGCACTCAAAATGGGCTAAGCGAGGAGGCAATATCGCGGCCGTAGACGCCAACACGAGCTCACTCTTTATTGAAAGAGTAAACTGTCCTTTTTCACGGGACGCCTCGAGCTCTTTGTGACGGAATTTCGTGCAACTTATTTTGCGCTCGGAGTGTAAATAATAGTGAACTAAGAGAGCTTCGGATTTTCGGGCTCTACCTCTTTTTCCTCTTTTGCTGTGCGGTCTGTATACACGAAACCATTTATTGTATGCTACTGTCAGTTATTGCGTTTTAGTTCAGTTCTGTAATCAAAACGCCGGCGCGGCTTTGAGCTGCGATTCGAACACGGAAACAAAGTTACATTGTGCAGATTAACTTACAGTAATTATGCTGGTACGCGGCAATAGAAAGGGAGGCAGCGTCAAAGGTAACGTTTAAACAATTTAATATTCCACACACAAGCATTTCAAACGCCAACTCAAACGTAGCTCTCCTTTCGTAAAAGTTCTTCCGTAAACGAACCCCCCTTCGTTAGATATCTACGTGAGTTTAATCCACTCCGTGCCTCGCGCCGGAGCGGTTCGGTCGGAGCGATTTTCGCAGAAAATTGGTGAAAATTGCAACAACATAGGCGAAAATTACCACTTGGGAACGTTGTTTAGAGCGCGGCCTGAATTTATGCGGCTGTGCGAGTGTGACGGCCGGCGGCTGCGGTCGGCGCGGGCGCTGCAGCACGACGCTGCGGCCACCACATAAGGCATATATTCCAGAAAAAATATTGTTACGGAAACGTCGAGTCCAAAACAAAACGAAGAATTTCTGTTCAATTTGATTACACTGAACCTGAAAGGCAATGCACCTATTAAAGAAAATGCAATGCCGTTAATAGCTCGTACAACGTCTAGCAAAATAACCGTTGCATTTATTTACGTGCAGCAATCGACTTGAATGGCAACATAACTACGTATTCACGCGCATAATATTTGACTGCCGGCACTCGGCTTTAGAAGCTTTGCCGCGGATTTTAAGTCAATAAATTGAGAGTACAAAAAGCGTTTAAACTATGGGTGTTTCGCACGCCATTTCGGTAGGAACAATACGTATAATCGGTTTTTCGTGTTTTGGACTGGATCCCTGTTTCATAGGTGGGAGTGGGCCCCAGACGGCTGGGACGGCCAGTTGTCACTGCCGAGACGAATTATGGCCTTTGTGGCACTTTCACTCTTTTTTAATTTCCCAGTAGGCAGGCATTTTTTAATTCGCGCGCTTTTTATGAAATCTCGTGTCATCCCCTGTCTGGCCCCGATTTTAGTAAGCAAAAGCCGATTGTTTTCACACTCATTGCAGATTGAATAGCTTTATACTTTGATATTATGGAAAAATTAAACCTTTGTCTAGCGCAATTGATAAGAAAATTGTGTTTAGATTAACTTTTAAGATGTCTGTTGCTTGTGTTTGAGGATAATTTTAGATGTAACAAAGATATTTTGTACCTATTAAAATAGTTAACGTATGTATATTGATTGTTTCATTCATGAATTGATCCAAATATGATACCGGTATCAAACCATAGAGAACACAAAATCCAAAAGCAGTACTCACTGGTGCCAGCATAGTATATTCGGTATATTCAATTTGGTGCAGTCAAATATGACACTTATATCAAAACGTATAGAACACAAAATCCAACAGCAGTACTCACTCGTGCCAGCATAGTAGACGGTATAGTCGAGCTGGTGGCCCAGCATGTCCACCTTCACGCGGTCCACCACCAGCCTCGTGAAGAACAGGTCCCGTTTGTAGTATATCGGCTTCTCGTTCTCGTGGGACACCGCGCTGTCCATTAGGGGGTGGGACCTGGGAGAGAGGGGGAGGGTTTAGTTATTGATGGAAAATATTTATACTCGTAGGTCCGACAGTAAGGCTGCTGTACGTAAAGTGTACATGTTACAATCTAATGTGATAGTTATCATTGCGATATCGGATGGGACGATCATTATTGATAATATTGTTCGCTCTGTGAAACGATTTCGAGACAATTTTTTTTAACGATTGTTACTTTATCAACCCTCCTAAGTTTTTAAAACTTTAACAGTGAGTAAACTAGCATTTTTTTTGGATTCTCGGACTATAGAAATATTGTAAACCGAGCACTGGAATTCTTCGGAACAAACCATTTTTTTTTTACAAAAAATGACCTATTCCAGTAGTAATACCATGAAATATTATAATATAGGTATAAAACCATTAGTTTTTACTATTCGGTTTTGAATAAACACTAAATTCAAACTCAAAACAGGTCCAACCATCCACTAGTCAGTTTTCACGCAATTTACTACAGTTTAATACCAGTTGAGCTATTTTTGACGAGATCCCTCCATACAAAGCTGTCATACTGTGTTATTAGCGCGCGTTCGGACATGATTTAATGCAAAGTGGCGTTTTCAGGCTGTAAAAAGCGTCCGTCAGTGGCCGAATATTATGCGTGCCTAAGCTTATACAGGCGCCTGGATAGGGATGATAACAAAGGGATATGGCGACCTGACATCAATACTTACCTGTACGTTATAGTGGTTATAGTTCGTATCTATATGCCCTAATGAGCGTTGAACCAGTATGATTTTCCATGATAGCAATTAGAGTTATTTCACAATTCTCTTTTTGATACATTTTTACTATCGGTGATACTACAATTAGGTAAAACATAGTGACCAATACGATTCACTAACAAGACAAAAAATTTAACACGCGTGCATTAAAATAAGAATCACTAAAGTGACTCGGCACAAGCGATAATCTAGACAGGCTAGATTAAAGCCGCCAGAACTTTAGAGCTGACGCGGCGAAATTCATATCGAATATGAAATTAAATATTTCATAACAATTCAGAGCGCTAAAAGTGTTCGCTAATAAAGGCGAGTCATCGGAGCGTGGCGGCGGAAACATTATGGCACGATGATAACAATGTCGCCGCGACAGCGTGCGACGCCGCGCGGCCCGCGATAACGTCGCGCGACGTCGCAGATAAAAGCCTGCACCTCACTACGAATACCTCATTCGTTTAATTAAAACCTCCACTCTCACCCTGAATAAAAATAACATTATACTATTTTCAGCAGACTGGTTCAGGTGAAGTGTTAAAATCTCAACGTTTCCACATGAGGATCGTGGAAAAGCGGGAAAAAAATAATAATTGAACGCTCTCGGGGTGAGAGCGTCGGATAATTAACAGGACGTGTCGCCAGGATAAAAGTGCCTGTGGATTTCAATGAGCGAGGAAATTCTGGAATCGCTGGAGAGTCGGCGTGATCGTGTTTCACGTTTTTAAGTGACGATTTTCTACTTTGTTTACGTCCTGCGCTTGTTACAATAACGACAGTCGCTTTTGTTGCTTTTTTTGCTTTGCTGCTCGGCTAAATAAATTAATTCCAAGCTTGCCTGTCTTTTTTTAATGAGGAATGACAATGGGTTTGACTCTCGTTCGTAGTTAAATTATTTTTATTATGTAGTACGTTGATCCGCGACGCGCTAACTAAATAAATGAAAAGATTTATTTATTTATTTATTTTAATTACACAGGTTTATACCTTATTACGTAATTAAATAGTTAGGTAACAACAAACATAATAACAACACCTTAAAGATTAAAGAGAACACTGCTCACAAAAGGATTGGCAAGTTGTTTTCGGTGAGGGTCCTAGAGTGGGTGTCCATGCTGCGTAAAAACAACGGTGGACTTGACAATTTTAGTGCACATTAGTGGGACTTGTAAAAGTGCTCTTTAGTTTAGTGTTAACTTACTGAGCGTAAATCAACTTAGTAATACAATGACTTTACTAAGATGATTAAAATCTTAAATTCTTACCTTATAAAATTGAGAACGGTGTCCGGTAACGAAGACGTATCATTAACACATGTCCCAGGTCTCGGCTCCGGCACTTTACTGCTGATGACCGGCAGCCAGGCGGAGCTGGACGTGGCCTGCTCCTTGAACTTGCCCTCGAAGGCTTTCTGGATGTCGCCGATGGTGAAGGTGCAGATGGCAGAGCCCATCAGCCCGGTGGACGCTGTGGTGAACACGCCGTAGAACCGGCTGTCGTCGCCAGGCACTTTGTAGATGCTTTCTGTTGGAAATATTTTATGGTTAATACCAATTGGTGAACAGCTCTTAAATATTATAATACAAGATTAGTCTCAGTTTGTTAAAAATATTTACATTTTATAAAAACAAAACAAAAAACAATAATAATTACGAACGTTCTAAAGACAGATGGACGACTGACACATCAAGCTCAACATTGTTATAACTATGTAGGCTGTGATAGGAGCTATTTTGCAAGAAGAAGTATTAGTTTGTTAGTTGACTATGCATTTTTTTATAACAATGACTTCAAATATCCTTTAAATTGTAGTTACTAAGACGTATGACTGACTTTTTTAGACTTTCAAAATCTAAACATTAATTAAAATAGTCTTTAGATAGTTCAAAATTTGGCTTTAAAGTTAAGTTCTAGAAACTACCAACTAACGACGATAAATGAGTAAAGTTTCACACGAGATTGAGAATAGATAAAGTTATTATCAAGTTTACGATATCAACGCATACTAACATGTGTCACGTAGCACAAATGTCTTTCACGAGACACTGTTCAAAGTAATTAAAATTTAAATTGGGCCTGAGATATGAGAACTAAGCGAAAATTTATCAAGCACTGTCAAGATGTCTAATCGGCGCTTAGTTATCCAAAGTTGGGAGTTGACTATCAAATTATTATAATTGTGGGTGCTGAACTTCGTATCTTGATGTCAGAGTTGCTGTTACTATTAATCAGTATTCGAATTAATGTCACAGTGTATTGGATTGACGCATCTTTGAAGAGTTACAACATAATAAGTTTGAATACAGCCATACACGACATCACTGTTTCAATAAAAAAACATAAAATTTTAAAGTAACTCAAAATGCATATCGAGCAAAAGAAACATAAGTAAAGAAATTCAATCGAATACAACTTTTTTACGAGAACATTTCCAACGCGAGCTCTCTTTATTCCCGTGCGATCGGCTTAATTATGCTAACTCCTCTGTCATCTGATAACAGTGAAAGTGAATTCAAACGATTTCAATTCGAAACATTTCTGATTTCGATAGCATTCGAAAATAACCCCTACATTTATTAAGAGCTCAATATCTGACATTAAAATCCGTTAATATAGACGTCCCTATTCGGAAATGATCGTCGAAGGAGGTACGACACTAGTTCGTAAATGTTCCTAATGGCGCTTCAACAGACATGTAAATAACACACCTATAGCAAATACTGAGCACTTGAGTACCTATTACATTCTCATGAGTTATGCAGGCGACGTAGCGGGGGCGCGTGAAAAACCGTGGTAAGCCCGGGCGAAGCGCGTTAATATTATATGAACACAGTCTGGGAGGACCGAACCTTCGGGGAAAATCGGCTAGACTTTTGTCGCTTAAATCGCACTATGCACTTTTGAGTTCGGATCTTAAATATTTGCTCCAGATTGACACGGTGTTTGTGTTTGAGGATAAGGTGAGGGGATTCGGGTCCCGCTCGTGACTTATGGCTAAACGTCTGTGAACGCTTTGAAATACATTTGCTTTGTAGCCCCGCTTTTGTACTTTAAATAAGGTGCAAACTACGTTTTCTGCACCGTAACTCTTCTAGATTTTAGGTTCTTAGAGTTTACTCAACACATTTCGTTTATATGGAGTCAAGTTTTGCAGCGGTTTTAAGAAGAAAGAGTCATGGTAATGCTTTTCTGTATTAAAATATAAGGCACTATGACTGGTAAACGAGTATTCCCGCAGCAAGTATAATCTTTGATGGCCCTAGAAAAAATATTGGAGAAAATCTAAATTGAATTCAAATGAGAAAGCTCGTAATATGGAGTAGACAGCTTTCCCGCAGTTGGTATACTCCACGATGATGACTATGATAATAATCTACAAACAAAACTTACGGATCTCATTGAAGTAGAAGGGGAACTCCCCTGGGATGCTGCAGTTGAGGCGCGCCTTCAGATACGTGGCCCAGTTCTAGCTGAGGATGTTCTTCCCGCCGGTGTCCCGCTTGCAGACACGGGCTACTCGGGAGTAGACAGCTTTCCCGCAGTTGGTATACTCCACGATGATGACTATGATAATAATCTACAAATGAAACTTACGGATCTCATTGAAATAGAAGGGGAACTCCCCAGGGATGCTGCAGTTGAGGCGCGCCTTCAGGTACGTGGCCCAGTTCTGGCTGAGGATGTTCTTCCCGCCGGTGTCCCGCTTGCAGACACGGGCTACTCGGGAGTAAACCGCCTTCCCGCAGTTGATGTACTCCACCGCCGTCTCGCGGAAGAAGAAGAGAACGTACTCTCCCACATCGAAGGAGCCCACGAAGTTTGGTTCTGCGAAAGGAGATCTTATTTAGTGCGAATAAAGGCACAATTTTAAATTTAAAAAAATATTACGCCTATGTACACAATAAAGGAAAGAATATCCATCCACCTACTATTGGAATACATTACGTTGTTATTTGTTTTCTTTAGCATTTCTACGCTTCCGCAATAATTATGTACGATGCACCTCCAGGAACCGATTCCACAAATTCAATTTTGTCAACTAGCGACCAATCTCGGACTACCTCTGATTTATGCGGCCGCAAGATATGCAATAGAGGAAGCGATGAACGCATGAACAGCAATTATATCATACAAGACATTTATAGCCGTATTAATATGCCTATTTGTCAGCCTCGAAATGAAACCGCCACGTGCACAGGATTACAGAATACGGACGCGTGTCGCCCGCGCACAATATTCTTTGTAGTTATTATTATTATCATTCAGACATACGTTCTCGTTAATCTGGGTTAGCGCTTATTAAACTTTAATAAAGCACGGATCTTCGGAAATTAATGCCTCCATAAATTCGGGTTCGGATAATTAATAGGGTCGATATATTGACCTATTTGTTGATACGGCAGGCGTTATGGGAGTGACGTGAATAAGTAATCAACGACATTGCTTGGAAATGTGATATTGTTAATAAGGGGATGCAGATTTTGGAGCAGGATTAATGGCGGATTAATGAGGAGTATTGATTTTATGTGAAAGTATTAATTTAAGCTCGTTATAACTGGATCATTTATTTTAATTAAGAATAAAGTTACATGTATGTTACTTATGGGAATGGAAGATACAAAAAACAGGCCTATTCAGATGAACGATAAAAAATGAAATTATTACTAACTATTGAATATTTTCATAATCTGCGTATATAGGAATATCATTACTTTCCATATTAATCCATTGAATTACTGATTTGTTCAGTAACAAAAGAAAATCGCATTCAAATATAATCAGGTCATAATATCCTGGTCCATAATCACAGGCTAGATTTTAATATCAATTTCCTAAAATCCTTTCGATGTGACAATACTATTTACTTTCCCATTAACTAGTCCATTCAAAATCTAGTTTAAGTCAGGCCAAATTGCGCGCTAGGTAATTCATATCGGACCAGGGTTACCAACTTGATAAAGGCATAGTTTATATGATATTTTTATTGTATTTTTTGACAAATTAGACGGGATTATTCACCCTCTCGTTCCCATCGCTGTAATTTCTGTGTAGCCAGGATCTACAGCTTGACCGTCAATAAAAACCCAGCCAATGAAAGTTAAGTTTGTCTCGGGGGAAAGTTATACTGTCATTGGAACATCGGTAATGGAGTCATACCTAACTTAAAAAGTGGAACAAAAACAAAAGTCCGGTTTGTCCGGACAAATTCGGACGCATGGTAACCCTACACAAGACCCATCGAGCGCCCGATCGGCTAATGCTAAATATCGGTCATTCAATAATACCTGTCGCCACAAATGAAGGACCCGTGAATCGATGTTGATTTTGGAATGCGTACTCATTATGCAATCACACCTAAATAGTTTTGCTTTGAATCAAGGATGGGGGAATGGGTGTTTTGATTGGAATGCATGGCTTGGATCGATCACGTATTCACGTATGTACTTAGGTAGATTGGTTTAGGACCTAAACTTTAGGTATACTTTTGTGTTTCTAGAGGATTCCTGGATTATTGTATGCCGGTTTTATTTTTGTATTAATTAAAATACAGGCTTGTTATATTGTGAAAGAGAATCTCGAACATATACCTTTTATGTCTCAAAGTCATGATACAGTCATATTTCTTGAGCGCATGTAGATATTTTTGCTACCATAATTCATTATGGTAGCGAAAATCTACTTCAAAGTCAACAAAAATAAATAAACCTTACAACTCGATACTAATTATATTCTAATCCTAGTCTTTGTAGTATCTTTGTATCTTAAAAAGTATGAAACGAGAAACAGACAAACACAGACCGGAGCAAATATCACAAAAGGGTTAATAAATTGAAATTAAATGAAAATAATTAACTGTTAGTGGCGTTTGAAACGCAAGCAATAAAGGCGAGTAATGAACAAAGCGATATTATTAACGAAAATTACGCAAATTTGTCGGCGGTAATTTCTATTCCCATGTTATTGTGGCAATCGCAATTAATGGCCGAACGGGCTTATTCCCTTTTGTCCCAGTTCTGATTCCGCTAATTAAAGAAGAACTAGATCCGACTATAATTGGTACAAACGTTTCAAATGGACCGGTGAAATTGAGCGCATCGCCTCCAATAATATCCGAGCATGAGAGTAGTATTTAATCGAGTTTGTTGATATTAATTTGTAGATTATTGTGTCCGATCCTATTTCTATCGAAGGAACTGAATTTATAATTATTGCTTAAAGTGTTTACGGCTTTATTTCTTTGAGATAATCGTACTGAAACTAAGTAAAGTTATTTTTTTGTATTAACATTTTTAACTAACACGCTTAACGCACGCACGCACTGTATTGATTTTAAAATTGTGGCCTATTAAAAATACAATTCTAACTCTACATTGATTTTACAAATTTTGATCCCTCAATGAAAAGGTCTGCCCTTACCAAAACCGAATCCAAAACTATAAACACAAGTATCAACTACCTCCAATAGGTAGTTCAATTATTCTATAAGAGCTCAAACTAGGCGTAATAACTGGCGAATCGGGGCAGGCATCGGGGGCATATTATTGTTCGTTAGAGCGAAAACAGTTTAATTTCCATTGTTTAATCACAAATAGGGCGATTGCCGTGTAAATCGGGTAAACGCTGATAATTCGGACATTTGTCTAATGATTACCGGGAAAAGCTCGATCAGCGGTGCGTGGCAATTGTTCACCGTGTGCCATAACTATGATCGCTTTCCATTTTGATTAGTTTACACTTTACACGAATCGTACACGAATCGGTGTACCGTGACTTCGCTGATTTATAACAAGCAGTCGACGGATGGATTCGAAAAATTGTAAAACGATTCCACATTAGGTTACATAGGGGTTGAAATAAATTGAACATTTTGTAGGGTTATGCCCAAAGTTCGAACTTTAGAGTTCTTTAAAATAATATTCCAGTCTCCAATGTCCATATAACTATGCAGATGGTTCTAGAAATGGTCAAATGCAATTTGAACAGTCTTAAAGCTTTTATGGCATAGTGAATTTGTGAATGTGACTATAACACTTACTGTCGAGCCATTTGGAGTCGTATTTCAGCGTGCGTTTGAAGGAGAACTCGCGTCGCCCTGTGGTGAGGTTGTGGAGGTCAGTCCTGAAGATGACGGTGTCAGCCTTGGTGAATTCTGCGTTGGTGCCGGAATACAGTGCCGGAAGACTGCCAGGGTTGCCTCGCTCGACCCATAGCGCCGTGGAGTTGTCTGCCGGGTCGTACGGACACTTCGCGACGCCCATTCCGATGCCGGGCACGTACTCGTGCCGGGGCAGGTGCGTTAGGTTCGACTGGAACAAAAGAGTAGCGTTTATTTTTATTGCCTACCCACTAGGTGTCGTCTTGTATTGCAGGTACAATATCGCTGATATATCGCCTCGCCGTATCGGCTGTACAATTTGTTACCGTCGTTTATAGGTTCGCCTGATTTCTATTGCTGTACAGTACAATTAAGCCGTGTGGTGACGGCAGAGTAGAATACATTTGTCACCAACCCCTACTCTTCCCGCGGGTGTCGTAAGAGGCGACTTAGGGACTACACATTAAACAGAGAATGGGCAGCAGCGCTCTCTGAAAAACATCAATCTTTTAAACTGCAATCTCCAACCCGCCTGCCTAGCGTGGAGATTATGGCAAAACCCTCCACTATAGTGGAGGAGGCTCATAGTCCAGCAGTGGACTGTAAAGGGCTGTTGATGATGACAGTACAATTACGGTTAGGATATGAGATACAATGTTGTTTGAGCTTATCTTTGAATTTAATAAGGTCTATATGGATGGAAAATAATGTAAAGCTTTGTCGTAGCCTCCTTTGTGTTATGTTGTATGTGTATAAAGTTATACGTAAAACAAACAAAATAGTCTGAAACATATTATTGGCGTATCGTGACACGCCGTACCTACCTAATAGGGAGAACAAATCCAAAATATTGTAGAATATTTTGGGGGCGATCACGTTCATTTTACGCGCCATTAATCAAAAATTTCACTAAAAATACAAACCTAACCGAATTTATGCGTTTCAAAGTCACTTACAGAACTGCCCGCCCCTGCAGCCCCCTACAACTCAACAACACATCTGCTATTAATTTTTCCAAAAAATTTATGTTCGTTTCACGTTGAACGCGATTTATTAACCGAAACTTATTATTTTGGAGGCGCTCGAGTTTTTTCGACGAGCCGTCCTCGGCGGATTCCTCTATTAGTATAATGCGATGGGTGGCGGTACGGTTTTCGAAATTATCATAAAATTACTAAATGTAGCATAAACGTGGGGTGGGCAGTGGCGGCGTCGTCGTGGATTGAGACTTTATGTAAATTTTAACGACGCTGCGACCATCGGGGCCACCTGTGCCGCCCTTCGCTCCGCCGCACCTGTCGAAAACCTATGCCGTTTTTATTTCAATAAGCCGAGGATTAAATTAGGCATGCAAGGACATGCCGCGGGCCCCCAAGGAGCGGGATTTTTCTTATTCTTGCTTCACGCTCGTGTTGGCAACCTATTGTGGCGCCCTAATGCGGTGGCTGGACACGCGGATGTAACGGACGGGCACAACTTTTGCTATTTACTCGCACACTACGATTAACATATTGGACTTTGCCTAGTAAATTTCGTTTAATGCAGTAGTTAAACTAAATCCTTATGTGAAATATGCAAGCGCAATGGCGTTATAAAGTTCATTAAGTCTAAAACTGTTTAACTAATTAGATAGGTACTAAAATTTTATTGATCCATTAAATTACTTTTATTAGCAACTTTTATGAATACAGCCTACTGGTATAAACCATGGTTTATGTGACCGAAAAATATTGTGTACAAAAACTTTAGGGTCAAAATTAGATGCGTTACCGTTTGTGCAAAGTTGGGGCACACGTAACAAAACATTTTAGCGCCGTGTGAGACAAAACTCCATTACGCGTCGGAAACCCTCGGCAAATACTTTAGAATCACACCAAATAGCAAACCACTTTGAATGGTGTATTATTTTGCGACAGAGCCGTAAGTCCGGGATAAATAAGCAAATGGATCGGACGGAAGCGCCCGGGGCGTTCGGAGCAAGAAAGTTTGCGGCCCGGCCCTCATTAGGCCATACTTTTGTTTGTTTACGAAATTAGCAGCTTTCAATGGCGGTGGCTGATGGGCGTCCATTGAATTTACAGTGAAAGGACCCGGACTTACCCAGTTTATGTAATTCGGTGTCAGGGATGCGATGTTTGGCGTCACGTTTGTATTGCTTCGGGAATTATTTCATTTTCAAACAAAACTTGGCTTGAACATTTCTTGTTTCTATTCAACATTCAATTAGATTTTTGTATCAAAATTTCATCTTACAGTAAAATTATATAATAATATGTGTAGAATGAAACACAAGTTAAAAAATAATTATATTATATTTAGTTTCAGCGGCGATCGGGTTATACCTAACAATCCACATTTTTCTGGCCAACAAAAATTAAGGCCAACAAAAACGATGGCCAGTTATTCTACATTCACCTGGTTGGTATCTGGTGCGTTTGCAAAATGGTTTCCCGATACGTCACGAGCGTATAGGGGGCGCTGGTATCGCTAAACGAGGAGATAAGGTCGCGATAGTTTCCCTTCAGCTCCCTTACAGTGTAAATAGGTCACCTGGTCAGATGCGCCGAGGTATTTCTAAGACGTTGTGAGACGACGCGACGTTCTTGTTTCTTTAAAAGATGTCCAATTGCTGCAACAACACGTTCTGACAAAGTTTTACTGGATGCCATTGTTAGCAAAGTAAGGAAGAAATTAAGTTTTAAGAGAACAATCAAAATTACATCATTGGAGTGTTAAAATGAGAAAGTATGGTATATATTTCCTTGTTTCTAAGGGCTTAAACTTCCAACTTTATTATTTGACAATAATATAGATTAAGTCTTGTATTTAATATAGGTACTTACAAAAATAATAGGAGACATAGGACCGGTGATAGGTTGGGAGAGGCCTTTGTCCAGCAGTGGAGGTCATTTGGTTGAAACGAACGATAGGGCAACATTTCCCGATTTCGCACTTGTTTAATTTCTTCCAATGTATTGAATAGAAGCTCACTTTTCCATAGAATTTATACACACACATTTTAAACAACAAAAAAGCGATTATAATCAAACTATAGCCAACTAATATCACCGCGCAAACATGTAGGCTGTCGTTCGACGTTAACTTCGAACGCACAAGGGATGAACGGGAACGGGACTAACTTCTGACGCGCGTCACTATCAGCTAATAGTGGCTCTGAGCGGAATTTATAAGCGCAATGTTGCTTTATGTTGTGAAACTATTTAGTGTGGTAGCGGGTAATGACATTCTGTTGAAGGACTTCCAGGCCTGGTGTTAATTTTATATTTTTTACATTTACGAGTAGAGTCAGTCGTACAGGAGATAAATTGCAGCGCTTAAGGAGCTTTCTAGTATTTATAGTACCTATTTTTGAGCAGGGTTAATTTTGTGGTCTAATTGAGTTTAAAGAATTTTTATTCTTTAACTTTTTAAAGATGTACTTTAATTTCAGTTAAAATGGTTACATGAAATTTCAATTTCACGTCTTATTTTATTTTTACTTAGATTACCAGACATAAATCAAGATAGAGAATTTAAAACACTGGCTCGCGAAGACTAGCCACGTTCAAGGCTAATTTAAATCAACTCCAGGAAGATCAGTATTTGTATCACAGAACGAAATATACATAATACATGCACCTCCATGTCTCGCTGGGCCCCAAGAGATGCAAAAGTCTGCATAATCAGAATGCTACCGAAGTTAGGAGCAGTAAGTTTTGAGAGGCCTGTACTCGTATCACTTGCATACAAAGCTCATTTTGCATTCCTAAAATAGAAATAAGCACAAGTTTAGCTCAAGTGTGACGGCAAAGTTCGCTTGACGTCGGGGAAGTGAGTAATGCTAATTACTTAGAAAATGTTTTAAATAAATGTTGGAGATTTTTATCTGAGTTGCCGGCGGCTTCGCTCAAACGATGTCCCCGGCAGACCCCCGGGAACTTTTGACCTGAATATTATGTATCCTATTATACAAGAATATAAAGACAAGGCAAATACAAGCCTGAAGAGCCCTTGTTTTTTGACAGATAATTCCCAGTACACGTTACTGTAATAAAATGTTATGGTTGACCTACTGACATTTGCACATTTGATATTAGACACAGCTCTTTTTATGACACAGTATACTTACAAAAAAGAGCTGAAACTTTATTAAGTTAAGCAATACTGTTGGGACATAAAGTAGTTTAAGATCAGAATGAAATAGTAGACAAAATAAATCTAGGTAATTCCCCTTATCGCTCAGGTATCACAAGTAATTAACGTCATAATGTAAGGTGAAGGTAATTAAAACTGCCAATCCGAAGCCATAAAATAAAGGAGATAACAGTCGTAAAGCTTCGACGATATAGGTCCCTAATTCGGGACGGCTAGGTGCACCTGCACCCGTGATATATGGCGCCGTATAGTGTAAAGGAGCGTGTTCGCTATAACATTCGTGTGTAAGCGTTGGGATAGAACATTCGTGTAGTGACGTAGGCGGCGAATCTTCTTGTCGTGATTTTTTTTATCAGGCTTTACTTAAGCCACCCGAAGTCCAGGGAGATCATAAACCATCATGTTGACACCATGAAATCGAAATAGATGACCGTCTCAGACTTTAAACTATAATTTGGATGATAAAATATTGTATAAATAGATACCTTTATTCGTGTCTGATATACTTAAATACAAATTAATGCACCCCAATTGGCGGATTCATAACTAATGAAGGTTATCCCAACAAGATCTGCATATTAAGTTCGCGAACCTCATATAGATAAGTTGTGCTCGCTTTTACCAATGTATACCCACCCTTAAGTTATTTGTTGCCGTGTAAGCCACTCATGATATTTTTTGTTCCGCAAAAAATATAACCATTTTAGTTCAAAAAACTGCATTCTACGGTTTAAGCTAAAAGCTTTTTATATTTTATCCAATTTGCAAACTTATGCAAACAGTAAAACTCAACTATTTTATGATCCTACAAATAGCTAAAGTACGGAATGGTGGAAATAAAAATTGAAGACATTAAGGTAAACATAGACTTGCCTTACTCGTAACATGGACTGTAATTACGAAGAATAATTATACAGGAACGGTTGAAGTAGCGCCGAAGCAAAACAACTACATTTGCAGTTGATTAAAAATGTAAGCGCATATTATGGGCACTCGAAACTGTCTGTAACGTGCACTCGCTATTAAGTTTTACGATGAGTACCGCAGCGAATAAAA